TGTGTTCGCTCACCTCCCGATCTACTGAGCCGACCTGTGACAGTCTCATTGTCACAGGTCGGCTAGAACTATGAGGTGAGTGAAAAGCACTCACCTCATAGTTCTCCTTTAAAACATGTTTTTTAAATTAACTTTACTTTTGTAAACCTTTTTTTAACACGTAACTCTATTGCTACCAATAAACCTACTAGACCCCTAATGTCACCTATGGACCTCAATGAAGCTAATCAAGCACAGATCGTGTTTAATCAGCTTCTTCCCCAGTCACAGTGGCCAGGGAATGACAGCTCAGAAACTGGAAGTAATGAAATCCTCATCATTTCCAGGTTCATTCACTGGAGGGGAGACCAGTGAATAGATGTTTTCTGATCTCCCCCTGCGCTCCCTGCCAACCCGCCATGGCCAACTCTGGCCCACAGCAGCACCTGCAGGGGGGAGGGGGGAGTATTGGGGGGCGACTGTTGTAGAAGTGATCGGGTCATTTCTACCTGAAAGATGACAGTCAGCTGAAGGAGTATAACCACACTCCCGACTGCTATACAAGCCAGGAGTCTGTTTACAGCTCCCTGAAGCCACAGAAGTAGTACTTACATCCGTGGAAGCAAAAGGGTTAAACAATTTAAAGTGTATCTAAATCCTAAACTTTTTCTCTTTTGTTTTGGAAAAAGAGGGAAAAGAATTGGACCGTGGTCAGAATTTTATTGCGATCCATACTGGGGAGTTTAACCTTCTGTATTTGCCAGAAAGTGATGGGTGATACAGATATATACGGTGGGTACTGAGATTGTATTACATTTTCAACATTTCTTGTAAGGGTTAAGTGTGGACCTTCGTTTTTACTCCTTCCAATGCTCCCTATTGGTCCTCTTAAGTGACATGTGACAATACCCAATAGGGAGTCCTGGGAGATGGTAAGGACCTGCTGTGTTTGGCAGGTCCAAACACAGCAAGTGGTGATTTGCATGTAACATTAACTGCCTAAATCACCGGATCCTGATTGTTTTGACATGCAGTTTTCACTGAAAATCAGCTCTGTCTATACATTTCTTTCATCATATACTCAGCTTATAACACTAAGGTCTGTGATATGTTTCTGTGAAATAAGCCACAACATGAAGTGTACGGTCAAAAAATATTGCAGATGTGTGAATTAGACCAAAGATAAGCTAAACGAGCATATTTTATATGTTATACTCTTTATAACTACTGCAGTATTACCTGATTGTGTGTGTATAATATTATATATATATATATACACATATATACACACACACACACACACACACTATTATCCAGTTTGCCTCTTTATTACTCATTCACATGTTAGATACAGTACAGGAATCAAAAACTAAAGATGGCTGCCTACCTCCTTCAGAAACTAATGATCCTGCAAGTATAAAGTATGCCTGGAATAGAAGAGAGAGAAACACTTTAGCAACCGTAGAAACAAATAACAGGCTCTAAGAAAGAAAGAAAGAAAGAAAGAAAGAGGCACACCTACCCATAGCAGCGATTCTATTGGCTGTGGATGCATTAAACCCATGATGCCATGGTACCATGACAATCCAGAGCCCATCATAAAAATGCCTACACCACTGATCAATGAAGCAATATACCGCATGTTGGTAAAGCCATATCTGTAAAATGAAGACTGAAGAAATTAGTGAAAATACACATTATAGAAGCTATGCAATTATGTGGTTTGGAGATGACATTAAAGGGCAGTGTACGGGTCTTCTCCATACAGTTTTTTAGATGCACACAACAAATAGATTTGTTTCAAGTTAATAATGTAATCAATGTTTAAAAATCTTCTTTATATGTATTTGTTTGTAATTGTATATGTAGAAGGCGCATCCATAATTGCTCATTACATATGCAGACTCTGCTTCCTGCCCTAGCAGTGCTACACAATAGCTGCACTGCTCCTACTTACAATGAACGTCTAAGAGTTGGTCGATTCACTGAAAACAAAAGCACTCCCATTGTGGCTGATATTTTATCTCAACAGTTGTTAAAGGTAAAAGCCAGCTTTGAAAAATAATAAATGCACACTGCTCCATAAAAGAAAACAAATGTGTATCTATTTATGTACTTATTTATTTGCATTAGAGCCAGTAAAGCATTCTAAATCTAAATCAGTGGATTCCAGGTGCAGCCCCATGGCTACTGCAGACTCTTCCTCCAGTCCCTGTTCATACCTGTAAGTACAGACTGTCAAGTTACAGGGACAGGAGGAAGTGTCAATGGACTCTAAGTGCTGTGACATCACTGCACTTGTATTCCACTGAAAACTACACATCCCTCTGCCGTAGTAGCTGATGGAACTTGTAGTTTCTTCATTCACAGATGCTGTCAAAAGATCTGTGAACGGATAATGCTGCTGTGTGGTTGAAGCCACGCACAGCCCACTGAATTAAAAACAGAGCGGCAGCCTGCGGGGAGAAGGACCCTGTGATTCAGGTAAGCGGGGGGCAATTTATGAATCTCTATATTTAACGCAATAAAAAAATAAGAATGGGCGAGTATGTAAACTGTGAAAGCCACATTAAAATGACTTTTCCTGAATCACTCCTGGAAAATACATTATAAATTGTATAATAGTGCACTGCAGAAAGAATGCTTAATCAGCTTTCCCAATATCACTGCAGGATGAGACATTTAAAAAGGAGAACTATGAGGTGAGTGCTTTTCACTCATCCTCATAGTTCGAACCGACGTGTGACAATGAAACGGCCACACGTCGGCTCAATAGATCGGGAAGTAAGCAAAAGCATACCGTCGCTCGCTCACTTCTCGATCATCTCCCTGCAGAGAGAGGTGACTGTCACTCATCACCCCCCGCAGGGATTCCCCCCTCCGATCATCCAGCGATGACTGGAGGGGGCGGGCAAAGCTGGCTCTTCCTCTAGATAGGCAGAGCCAGCTGTCATTCAAGCAGCTTGGTGGATCTCGACAGCATTGTCGGGATACTTCGTGGCTACGGTGGTCTTACATACTGCGAGCTGTAGCTCCGGTTATACTGAGCTTTGGGTCACGGGAGGACGCTAGTATATGTCCTCCCGTGACCCTTAAGAGAAGTATGGGGAAAAACACTTACCCCATAGTTCTCCTTTAAACTTGGTATAGGCGATCTAACAAAACAAAGCCTGGTGGTAACAGTAGTGCTAAAGCTACTGGCTATGTTAGAAATTCTTAGCAAATAGTATACGTCCTCTTTAATAATGGCAATACTACAGGTCTCCGCTGACACAAGAGACAGTTATTACTATCATTATACCCTGGTGACTGGACTGTCTGTTTAGAACCAGGAGGTTTCACAAACCTCCCATGTAGTTCTGGGGCAATCAAATCTGTATTGACACATTGCATGGCAAGAATGACTATAAATCCTTGGGTATGTTACCGACACTTTTCAGAGCTGAGGAAGCTACTTTGATGAGCAGAGAAAAGTGTTCAACATTACAGAACCAGTCCATCTGACTGTGATGAACTTCTATCTATGCCATCACCTGTATAAATGAAAGCCTTCACAGAGGTAACACACAACCTCTATAAGAACAGAACAGTAGCCTGCGTATGTAGTAAGAAAATATTTTCTCTTTCCTTCTTTAGTCTTACTTTAAAAAGACAATCATTTTCCTTTAGGAAATAATAGTCTTGTGGAACAGTTTGCAGAATGGAGATGGGGAGTAAACTACTGATAGGATTGGGTAATGCAGCACGTTCACTTTAAGATTTAGTAGAAATATGTACTGTAGGCTCTTGAAAAATATACACATATTAAAATAAAATACAGGAACACAACAAAAAGTACACAAATTAAGAGCAGGGCAGAGCCATTTAATATAGTATTATAATTCCGTGCCCTTTTCAGCGTTTCATAAAAAAAAAGTAATTTCATCCTGTATTTTTTTCTAATCCCTTCCCTGCATAGGCTATTTAGATCTAATCTTATTACTTTAATGTTATGCACCACAGCTGCTGATGAAATTGATTTAATCCCTTTTTTTAATGCATTCAGATGTTTAATGAACAGGGTAGCATTTAAATATTTGCTGAATACAATTCCAAATTTAATTCCTTGTGTCGTTATGTGTAATTTTAGATGTTTTAATATAGGAAATACATTTTCATATTTATAATTTTTTTTTTTTTTGCATTTAGAAGTCCAAAGAGCTAGTAATTATAGGCTGGGAAAAGGCTTATTGTGCTTTCCATGCAAAGATGTTTTGTGTAATAGCGGCTGCTGGAGAAGTAGAAGGGATGAGGGCTTGGGCTCTAATAAAGTACAGGGGCCAATGAATAGGGGACTAACTGTAGTAGAGAAAAGTCAAACTGCTACCCACAGCAACCAGAATCATTATTTTGAAAGCCGATATCTGATTGGCAGCTGGGGACAAAGGCTTGCTTCAGCTTTGTTCTGATTTTTCTAATCCTCTAATGGTGATATTGGAACAACATTTTTTCTATGCGTTTTAAATCTATAGCATTTCGCTGAGATAGGTGATCACCTCCTCCCTCCTACCACCCCCTACATGTCAGAACAGTTTTGTGGTTTATTTTTTTTTCCTTGGACAGGGAAAACTAGCAAATAAATCAGTACTCAAGCAGAACACACAGTTGAAGGTTGGTAGGGGCAGTTTATAATATATTAGAGAAGGAAAAGTTACAATTTGTTTTGTACCCTCCTTCCTAGTGGTGGAACATGGAACTCAGAATATTTGTACTGAGCACTGCAAGCAGCTCGAAGATTCTCAAAATCATTATCATCATCGTATCACCCTCTGATAACATCTCATAATGACATCATAGATCCAAAGGCTTAGGTTTTCAAATAAGACTTTCATTATTCAAAATGATTCTCAGATGAGTCATGTAGGCAGCACTGAGTAGTTGGCACTAAGCAGAAGCTTATGTCCCACCAGGCTATTTAGAAATGTTGTACATGTGTGGATTCCTACCTATATCCAAATTTAAGCTGGTAAATCACTGGTTTTCATGGGCTGACAGTTCTTATCTGTGCATTGCTGACTGTGGTGGAGACAGTAGACTGCGAGCATGTATAAGGATCAGAGACTGTTGTGAATGTGCTTAAGGTGCACACAGATTTAAAAGGGTGGTTGGATATGCAGCACAAGCTAACTGCTCTTAGGTAAAAGATGGCTGGCAAACACCTACACGCTTGGCATATAGCACTACAAAGAATGAAGAGGGGCATTTTATGTGTAAGGGTGTCCTTAGTCTGTCAAATGATGGGGACTTTATAAGTGCTAAAAAAAATTGATAAAGTACATAGTGTTTTAATCTCATTTTCAGTCTCAATTTATTAAAAGGATATCCTTTAGGGCAGCAATAAATCACATAGAGATCTATTTGGTAATACTATATTTTGAGTCCAATCAAAATCTAATTGCATCCTGAGCCCCGATGAAGGGGGAGAAGTGTTGCCGCCGAAACGCGTTTGTTGTTTTTTGTTTGATCATATTGTGAACAATTAAAGGCACATTGGGCTCCTTCACTTTTTGGTTTAGTGCCCTTTATTTCTGAACATTGAGCTACTTCTGGTTAGCCTACAAGGAAGGACCGTCTTGTTTGGGAACTGCCTTGCCAGTGCAAGTAAGCTTATTTGCAAAATTCCCTGCAATTGGACAATTTGAGCGAGCACACAAATCCCAGTGCTTCTTAAATGTGCTCCTTTGGAGTATCCAGGTAACTAGGACATAGCTATGTTCTGATGATTCCATTTCCTCTCCCTAATTTGCATTCTCTGAATATTCTCATTGAGCCACTAACATAAATATGTTATATATCGAGCCACCAACAGCCCTTAATATATTCTCCATGGACAAAATATGGAAATGCATTCCATAGGGTGGAAACAGGAAGTTCCACTTGCAGCATTGCTTTAGGAGTCACTTAGGTATTAAGTAGAGGGAAAGACACTGCACTGATTATGTAATTCTTCTCTACTTGCTACCCTCCTCATAGCCCATGGACTGGGAAAGGGAAAAGGACAAAATCTGCATAATTTTGCATGAGACTTTGCTCTCATTAAAGCCTTGCTTGTTTTCAGATCACTAAGACAAATTCTCCAAGTAATGACAAAAAAATAATACATGTTAAATAAATGAAAGTCAAAATGTTGTATAACTTTGTTAGCATCAGATGCTAATAATGTCAGATAATGAGGGATTTGTGATGTGAAGGATAAAGATATCTTACGGATGTCCAGGATCTGGTGTCCGCACAGACTGTGATATACCCACTGCTAACAGTGCCTGAAAGAGAGAGACAATATGGAAAATAAAAGCACACCTGACATTCTCTTATATTACAAATATATAGGTTAGCTGTGAATTTTAAATGCAACTCTGGCACAGTTACTTTTATATTGTACTGTCCACAGATTCACCCCCTTCCCAAGTCTTACACTTGGCTGTCTGGGATCCAGTAAGATATCACCCTTAATGGCACCAAGCAATTTCTCAAAATTTGTGTCCTGTGCATGCACTGAAACTCTCCATTCAATCCTATGAAGTGGACTGAATGGACAGTACAGTAACACCTTGGTTTACAAGTAACTTGGTTTGAGAGTGTCTTGCAAGACAAGCAAACATTTCTGAAAAATTCTGCCTTGATATACAAGCAATGTCTTGCAATAAGAGCAAAATTCTGTAGAAAAGCGCCACCCGAATAAGGCTGTAGCAGTGCGAGCGATGTGTCTGTTTAACTACAATGCAATGTCACATTTGATAGATTCCTTGTTAAGGTTTCACAAAATGAAAAAGATTCCATTGAGTCAAGAGATAGCAGTGATTCCGTTAGTGATAGTGAAAGTCGTCCTGCACAATAATCCTCCTCTCTCTTGTCCGCCTCACACCGGCCACGAAGGTACCGGTAATTGGTTTATTTTTCTTTATATTTTGTACAGTATTATATTACAGTACAGTATTGTAATCATTTTTATATGAATATTTTTGGGTTGTGGAACGAATCATCTGAATTTCCATTATTTCCTGTGGGGAAATTCGCTTTGATATACAAGTGCTTTGGATTACAAGCATGCTTCCAGAACAAATTATGCTTGTAAACCAAGGTATTACTGTATTAGGTTAGGGGATTGCTGTTTGATGACCACCTTGCATTTCAAGGTCATATGATATGTTTTTACTACGATATTGGATAAAAGAAAACCAAAATGTCTAGAGAGTCCCAAATCCCATTCACAAACTAAGAGTTTTAGTGTGGAGTGCTCTTCAAAAACCCAATTGCTGTATCTTTCGTATGGTTTTCAGCAAAAACATCTCTATGGGGTTGAATGGTACTTCATGTGAAATCCAAAATGCGTTACAAACATGAGACACCCAGATATGTGAATGAGTCCTAAAAAGTAGGAGGGCCTGTGTCGGTGGGCTTGTGTTTGCTTTAAGCAGGTTTTGCATTGCCATACAAACCTATGGAATGCAAAACCTGCAGCAGTATGTCTGTGAAGGTTCTCATTCATCCAGGTCTTTGTATATCTGTAAAAAAAAAAAAAAAATCAAGCCAACTGGACTTGCTTGTATTTTTTCTTGAAGACGTTGGTCATCCAACTAACTTTCTCTATTCCGTCATCTGACTAACTTTTTGAATTGAGAAAGCTAGTTGGATGACCAGTGAAATGTAATCAAGAAAAAATACAGCAAGTCCAGTTGCTTTGATTTATTTTTTACAGATATTGCTTGATGCAGGTTAAATGCAGGTCAGAAGGAGATCAATTGCAGGTCACATGCAATTGTCAATGAATTCTGAACGATCTCGGAGGCTTTTCAAACTGATGTCATTGAAACAAGCCCTAAATATACTATACTTTGAAAGCCTTTATTAGCTCATTTATTATATTCAGGGACATCAAGCAGCTCTTAAGATATTACCTCTGCTGGGAGAACTGGCATCATAGGCCCTGGCAGAGAAAACGCTGTTTTAGTTACTATTATTAATCCTGTCTGCACTGTACAGTTTGAAAAGCAACATGACTGCAGACCAGGAAAGACAACATGGAGGCCATCTGCCCACATACCTATTTAACAGAATGACAGGAGCAATAAAAATATTATCCCTATACTACCATGCACAGTATTGGTGTAATCACTGGAAAAGCAGCTCAGAAATGTTGGAAGAAGGTAGCCCATATGTACTGTGATGTTTGGGGAATTAGCTGGACCGCAGGACACAGGCTTTATCAGACAAACTGCATTTATTTTCCACAGCAGCAACAATAAACAGTCATTTCCTTCAGTACCGCAAAACAACTTAAAAGATTGCTTCCTTCAGCATAGAAATAATAAACTGTACCGTTTGCTTCCTTCAGCACAGAAAAGAATAACAGCCTCACCGGCTTGGAGGGTTTCAGTCCACAAGGTTATCACACTCTTAACTTCAGAGTTTCTCTCTCAGCCCACAGGCTCCCAGTAAAGTTCAGCTGCTTCACAACACCAGTACTTCCATCTGCTCCACAGCCTTGTCTGCAAACATTAATCAGGGCCTCTCTCTCTCTCTGTCTCTAGCTTCCTATCCTTTTGAACACACTTCCTGCAGCAGGTGTTAACCCATTTCTGTCCCTTAAAGGGACCACAACCCGAACAAAGGGAAATATACACCTCTCCCAGGACCCATCTTCTGGCGTCCTGTACAGTACATTTAGCTAAGCCCTGTCCATCCCCCATATCACCTGAAATCCAGACAGCCAAATGCATTTCCTCTTTTGAGTTATGGTCTGCAGTCATGTCTCTCTTTACACTGTACAGTAATACCTGGGTTCTCGAACACTTCTGCTCGCGAACAATTCAGTTTGCGAACAGGTAGTTTGGCAAAATTTTGCTTATGTTCGCGAACTCCAAATTCGGTGGCGAACACGACTGCGGCCATCTTCCCCGCTCTGACACATGGTCGTGGCTTCTTCTAGCAGAAGACGTGTATCCAAACCTCTGTTATTAACCTTAGTGGTGAGACAAGTTTTTTTACATGCTGACTTGTGAGTGTACCATAACACCTTTCTACTGTCTTCTAGCCAAGATCGCAGTCGCAGACCTGTGCACACGTCCCCACCTTATGGGGAAATTTGATTCGGTTTGCAACCAATTTGGTTTGTGACCAGTATCGTGGAAGAAATTAAGTCCGTGAACCAGAGGTACCACTGTACAGTGCAGGCAGGTTGAATATATGGATAGTAAATGTTAGCATTGACCTGGTACAGCAAAGACAGCTCACAAAGCACAGACAAAGAATAATCAGGAGGTAAGAGTTTATACTTGCAAACTTGTACAATGTTCGTTAATAGGGATGATTTTAGGATCAGACCGAATCTGGTCCGAACCTGAGATTCTCCAAACATGAGCACTCCGAATCAATCAGCTGCGGTATGGGCATTCCTCACCTTGCGGCTGCATGCAAAGCGGTGGGATACTTGTGCTGATATCATTTGACTAATACGACCACATAGCCATTCTAGGTAAATGTAGTTTAACAAACATAGGCATGTAGCCATATAACTATCCATGCTGCGGGCAGCCAAGTCCCCACCAGCAGCTAATTGGGTGGCACAGAAGGAGCTTCCTTCCATGTTTCGGAGGGGCTCCTTCCGGGTTCATCCCTATTCATGAATATGTTAAATAAAAATGAATGTTTCAGCCAAATACAACTTTTGTTAAAAATAAATATACTTCATATTAAATGCTCCAAATTCAGTTTGCAATTTGTTATTGGTATGACCTTTCCATTTAAATTAGCCAGCTTTGAGTTTCTAAAACTGACAAAATAAAACCGGCGCTTCTCTTTAACCATGGCAATTACTAGTGTTGTATGTAATGTAGAGAGAACACCTCCACAAATGGCATTGGCTTTATCCTGCAGTTTGCTCCATTATGCTGGGGCTAATTATTATATTATTATAGCAGGCAGATCCTCTCACTCAGCAGTCAGTTTCAGGAAGGTATCACAATGGCCATTCCCTTCATCTATGGAAGAGCAGCAGAGCAGGTAGAAGAATTTTGCTGAAATCCTCCAACACTGAATTTCTTATTTAATCTCTTTTGGTAAGTTCAATATACAATTGAAAACATTTTGTTACATTTGTTTGATAGAGCTCATAACTTTCTGGGCACTCTAATAAAACTCAAGCAGTGTTACTAGTGCTAGCCAATTTGCTTCTGAACTACAGAACATCCCCCCCTGTGCTATAGAGATGATAGGGGATGTGCTCTGTGGTCCTAAACCACTTCCTGTCCTATGGTGACAATGCTGCTGAGGTGGTCATGTTAGAAGAAGTGTGTTATTGAAGATCCTGTCCTATGGTGACAATGCTGCTGAGGTGGCCATGTTAGGAGAAGTGTGTTATTGAAGATCCTGTCCTATGGTGACAATGCTGCTGAGGTGGTCATGTTAGGAGAAGTGTGTTATTGAAGATCCTGTCCTATGGTGACAACAATGCTGCTGAGGTGGTCATGTTAGGAGAAGTGTGTTATTGAAGATCCTGTCCTATGGTGACAATGTTGCTGAGGTGGTCATGTTAGGAGACGTGTGTTATTGAAGATCCTGTCATATGGTGACAATGCTGCTGAGGTGGTCATGTTAGGAGAAGTGTGTTATTGAAGATCCTGTCATATGGTGACAACAATGCTGCTGAGGTGGTCATGTTAGGAGAAGTGTGTTATTGAAGATCACCAAATAAAAATAAAAGGAAAAAAAGGACTGAAAAAAGGTAAAACTAATGCAGCCAACACATCTAAGGACTGCTAGGCTGCAATATATTAGATACACTTTAGGTTTAATGTTAAAGAAGAACTCCAAGCATTTTAAAAACTTTCCCTTGCAGTGGGGTTACCCCCGCACTGCAAGGGGAAATGCTTTTTTTTCTTCTCTGGGATGGAATAAAGCAGATATACTCACCTGATCCTTGGTCCTGTGACAGTCAGCCCTCCCCTAGGCGTCCTCAAGTCTAATGCAAGTAATGAACCTGCATTAGACACGATGACATCAGGAGGAGCCCAGGGAAGAAGAGGCTGTGGGGACCGGTCTAGCAGCCAGGCAGGATTAAGGATCAGGTGAATATATTTTCTTTATTCCATTCCCTAGAGAAAAATGAGTACTTAACTCTTGCAATACAGGGGTACCCCGACAGCAAGGGAATTTTTTTTAAATTCCCTGGATTTCTTCTTTAACCACTTCAGGCGGGTTGTCATTTATAAACGTCAGATTCCTGAAGCAGTTTTACCAAGAACACGCCTGTCGTTGTAAAGAGCTGGCAATGGCTGTTCAGATGCAAGTGATATGGCAGCTATACAACCGCCCGATTGCTTCTACCGTGCAGCGGAGTGTGCTCCCCCCTCCACTCTGCCGCCAGCTACCCCGGGCTATACTGTCCCTCGTGTGGGCCCCAGGACCGGCATGACAGGTCTCGCCTCATCTCCTCAAGCTTCTTGCTGCTAATCTCTCCACCGATCACTGGACCCAGAAGTGATGTGTATTACATCACTTCCAGAGCAACTGTGCACATTCTCTGGCTCCTGTAACCAGAAGAAGAAGCTGGTGAAGCAAACTGCTGCTTCATCAGCTTCTTTGGGGTCCCTAGGTGACATTAAGGGTCTGACAAACCCCTGATGTCTCCCATAAAGAGGGCTTGCCACATCATATTTGCTATTACATTGGGGATTGTTAGCCCCCTATGTGATAGCAATAAAGTAGGTGTAAAAACATACACACACACAAACCTACGTGCAAAAACTAAAATTGTGCCACATGTTACATATCACCACGAACATCGGAAAGAGATCAATAATTCTAGGGCCATCAACCACAGTTAGCACTAAACTGATGAACAGTAAAAGCTTTTAAAGTATTGTAGTTTGTTGCAATTTCACAGGTGCACGCAATTTGAAGGTTTGACATGTTTGGTATCAATTTACCCAACGTGACCCCGTCTTTTATATTTTACAAACAAATTGGATATTATATTCTGATTCTGTGCACTAAATTTCATTTTAGTGCATTTTATCCTAAAGATACTGGATTGATAAACATTTGCGCAAATACCATGCGCCATTAAAAATTGCAACTAGCATCTTTGTATTCTACAGGGCCTCTGCTTTCAGAAAATATGTAATTGTTTGGGGGGTTTTGAGCTGTTTTCTAGCCAAAAATTCAGATTTATCATGTGTGCAAATATTAAGGAATTGCTCCAGACAGCAAGCGGTTACATGAGACATAAAACATCCATTTTGATTTTACACATAATAACTCTGATACACGAATAAAAATAAATAAATGTATATATATCTATATATAGATATATATCTATATAGATACAGAGATATATATCTATATATATATATCGAGAGAGAGAGAGAGAGAGAGAGAGAGAGAGAGAGAGAGAGAGATGTTCAGATACCTATCTATATATATAGTTATTTACAACAAAACATTTTTTTTTCTAAGCTGTATAAAAAAAGTTTACAGACAGAACCAACAAATGATTACTCAAAGTAGCTGAACATGAATGAAGCACAGTGCCATCCAGTGGTAGATCTAGTGGGATCATTTCAATGTAAAATTTAGGCAGCATATGGAATTTTGTCACAAATGGGGACAGAGAAGGAAATGTAAGAATTCACACCACAGTGTAAGCGTTATCGTACCTACATAGACCGGCATTTTTAATGCATTGACATTGGCGTTTTCTATGCATTGTTTTTTTGCCTTTTTTAAAATAACTTTGATGCTTGCGTTGAGGTGCGTTGTAACTTGCTGCGCTACAATAAAATGGTGCTGGCATAATTTTAACGCAGTGCACACCAACGAAGTGCATTGGTGTGAACAGCCACTATTTAAAGCAACGCTTTTTGCCTTGTATCTGCATTGTGGACACTTTGGCCAATGCTGCCCAATGCAGCACAGCACACATGGTGTGAATCGGGCCCTGATATCTAGCCAAATGATGGCAGAAGTGGCATACCAATGAATGTTATTAATCTTCAGCACCCCAGAGATGACAGCTATTACTCCTTTTACTCTATGGAATGATCCACAATGTATTTATTTGAAGCAGAATAAGACCCACATTTAAAAAGGTACCACATCCTATTAAGTAATTACAGAAGTAAAGGGGAAAATGGGTTTGGGTTTTTAGGTACCCGAGGATGTATCCATTCACATATACATTAAATTGTTGTATTAGCATCGATACATCCTAAAAAGTCCAAAACAAATTGTTCCTTTCCTTCTGTAACTACTCTATGGAATAAAATAACTGATAAGCACTGAATAGAATTACACTTTGTGGCAAAAATACACTAAAACGAGGCAGGGAAGAAATACCAGTCATATGTGCCAAGATCTGGGCAAAAGAGTCTACATTCATCTTACCTGATTACATGTATCTGCTAAGGAGTGGATAGCTTCAGAAAACATGCTAGCAGAGCCAGTGTACACCCAAGCCAAAAGTTTAAAGAAAAAGTTTAGTCCATTTCTGTATTTAAAGAGAATTAAAAAAAAAATTATATATGAAATCAGGATTTTTTAGGAAAAATTGGTAGCCAAAAGGACTTAAAGTGACACTAAACTCAGGAGTTAAATCCTAAAAATGCATTCAATTACCTTAACTATTACCAATAATGTATCTTATTTGTGTATCACTCGGCTGTAGATCCTCAAATCATCTCTAAATTGGTGCTGACACTGTCCTTCCTTCTGGAGGGTGGAAACCTTTGTTCCCCATGGTGCCTGTGTGTGTGTGTGTGTGTGTGTTGTAAAGTAGTCACTGCTCCAAGCTCACTCCCGTAATGGACTACAATCTCATGTTTAGTTTATTAATTTGTAATGAGATTGTAGTCCATCGCTGGAGTGAGCTTGGAGCAGCGACTACATTACAACACACACAGGGACCATGGGGAACAAAAGTAGCCACCGTCCAGAAGGAAGAAGGACAGTGTCGGCACCAATTCAGAGATGATTTGAGGCTCTACAGCCGAGTGATACACAAATAAGATACATTTTTGTTAATAGTTCAGGTACTTGAATGCACTACTTACATTTACTATATGCCATTTATGAAACACAAAAATATACCTGGTGATAATGTAAAAATAACAAACAAACAAGTTCAGTTTACATAGGTTTTATTCTTTTTTCTAACGCAATCTACACCCACAGACCATCTGTATATTTACCAACGCCTCCTGCTGGGAAAATATGGCATTGCATATCCTTTGTCATAAAAAAATGCACACAGAATATTTTCCCCAGCAGAATGCTTTACCCCACTGAATGAATGTGAGACAAAGGAAAAGTTGCTGCTTATGTGGAACTGTTCAGTGGTCCAAGGGTGTGGATCATTAACACTTTTTTGATGGTTGTATATATTACTTAAATAAATCGTTTGGAAAACTAAAAAAAGAACTCTAGGAAAATCACAAACTTGCCCTTGTAGTGAGGCTTCCCTCGCACAGCATGGGTAAGTGCTTGTTTTGTCTAGGGGACACAAAGCAGATTTACCTACCTGACCCTCAGTCCCAACAGCTCCCTCCGGGCTGCTAGACTGGTCCTCATAGCCTTCCCCCCTGGGCTCCGGCAGTCTTAGGACTGCTGACGTCATCACATCTTATGCATGTCCATTTATCTTTATTAGAATTGAGGATGCCGAAGGACATTCCATTAGCCGGAGCAGAGAGGAAGAGAGGCGAGTGCCAATCCCGTGGGACAAAAATGCAATGTTAAGTTTAAAGGTTTTCCTGGAGTTCTTCTTTAAAGCATCAGTATATCTAATACATTTTGCTTTGTATAGTGTGGAAAGGGGTTAACATGCCTGTCAGTCTTTCATTGTCCTCTGTGTCCCATTAGGATATATCTTCACTCACTTCCGCTGTGCCAGTAACCCTGTGTCACCAGCACACTAAGTGACTGGAAATGTACCCAACTTTGAAGTTCCACATTAAGAGTTGAAGCATTTTTTTTAAAACAAAAACTAAAGGGGCCTAGTTATGTTTTCTTTGTACAGAAATGTGTGAATCCCGGGTGAATGCTGTGTAAATCTTGCGTTTAAAAAAAAAAAAATATTACAGACCCCAAAAACTTACATGCATATTGCAACCATAACAACTTTCCCTGGGCCCTTGAGAAATATGGACGGTGTGCTTAAACGAGGCTGTAAAACAAAAAACACAGACAAGAAGTGTCACAAACTCCTCTCCTATGTTATACATAATCTGTGAACTTTGAGGCTGACATGCGAATGATGTGTTGAGTTCTATATCTCTATCTTATGTCATTTAAGGAAGAAAACAGATATTCTCGGATGTAGAGGTTACAGTATCCTCTACAATGCATTGATACTGCAGACCTACCAATGTGCTGTCTAATGTATTGCTATCCCATAATCTAATAGAAGTTTAGGGTAATGACCTGTGATATTATACAATAATGAAGCAATAAATCAGATTTATGCATTCCCTTTTTCTGTTCCAATGCTCATTTGCAATCGGGGAGATTGGAAAAGTGTACAATGTATTTTATCTGAGCCTTTTATCTATGTATCAGCTCACTGAAAGTACATATAGTATGTGAAGGGCAATATTTTAAAGCAAGGCTGGTGAACTTATTTAGGAAGTGTAGACATCACCACATAATATTCAGTAAATGGAAGCTCATGTTCACATGGGCAGCAAAGGTAGTTGGCGGTTGATCAATGTTTTTAATCACCTCCTAACCACCCACCTAAAACCTCAAATAGTGGTGCTCTAGCTTGTAAACATGCCATGGCAAATTGTATGCAGCATGTCATGTTTGCGTTTGGCAACACTGCCTGCCAACCATTGCAGTAATTGGGACTGTGCTGCAAACTGCTGAACTTGCTTGTGACCCAGGCAGTGATGTCAATCAATAGGGCTGAAAATAGGCCTGTATGCCACCATGGGCCATTATCTGAGCACCAAAGAGCAAGCCCATAGGTCGAATATTTAATTGCTCTGGAACAGACTATAGATAGGGCTGTGTACTTGCTGCCTGGGTCTGATATAAAATTACCAAACTTCTTCTGAAAATGTTAGCTGCCTGGCTGCCTCTGTTTCTAATAGTACAGTGTGAAGTGAGCTGAAAGGCAGTGAAATTAACTTCTGTTAATTTCTAACATTTGATTGAATGCTGGAGGAGTTCCCTTTTAAAAAAAAAAATTCTCGGCACACAATTGGCTATTGAGGTGTGCTCAGCACTAGTAACAAGTGCCAATCACATCTAGGAGAGGTTTCAGTTGTAATACAAGACTGAAAAATGAAGCAAGCATCAGACTGAATACTTTGAGCAACATCCCCTTTCCCATCCTATCCTATGAACCCTGGTGGGTACATCGCTCTTTGGACATCTAGCTTCAACTCATGGCTTTAAGGGGCAACCCCAGGCAAACCAAACTTCAGTCATAAGTATGCAATGATATAAACTATTTATCAATGTCTGCATTTTACAGATGTTTCTGGACCTGTAGTAGAATATTAGACTCATCTCAGACAACATGCGTGGGTTCCAGGCAATGCACTGATATCAGGGGTGTTCCAGCAGGCCATGAGTGATGTAAAACAGAGACACAGACGTTATGGCCATAGCAGGTGTAGGAGTTAGGATCTCAAGGGGATTCGCTTTTTAAGCTGAAGTTGCATACATCTTGTTGTCACTATGTCGCCCAGAAGAAGGGACCCTGCATGGCCCTGAAACGTTGGCTGTTTGACGCATGTGACAATTGAATAAAAAGTGCTTTACTTCTTGCACATATCATCAAGTGCTGGTGACTTCTATTATGGACTCTGACTGGGTGCCATCCGTGTTGTCACTCCAAGCACCAACCTTTCATCAAAGGTCTGTACGCTGCATGGAGTGCAGGTGATTTTGTAATATCGATAGGATCTCAAGAGGGACATCTCTGTGCCAGAAGCTAGCAGATAAATAAATCTAAAACATTAGTTTTGAGTGGACTTGCACACAAAAAGCCACACTAGCAATACTGGCACACACAGAGTTACAGAGGGGCATCAAGAACATTTTCAACAAACATCCTGCTTTGATCGTTTCAGATTCCCATTATTATACTATATGTGAGCTACATCCCAACCACACAACGCATACCTTTGTATCTCCTAGAAATTCTTTGTATTCTTTTAATAGCTTCTGATTTCTAAACACATCTGAAAGAAGAAAAGAAAAAAAGCAAAGTACAAAGTCAAACTTTTATTCTCTAAGTAAATAACGCAGAGGACTCATATGAAGAAAGGGACGCATAAAAGAGCAATTTATTAGTGAAAGACATCTCTCAGTGCATGGAAAAGAAAGGTACAATTAATCAATTTGCTGCATGACAGATGAAAAGTATATGAATGGATTTCTGCTCTTTAAAACAATGGCTGACATTTACAAAAATGTGTTGCATAGAAGTTTTTGTAACTGCCAGCAATTAGAAATAAAAAAAAAGAAGCCGTTGCATAAAAGATTTAATTAAAAAGGTGTAAAAACATGTAAAAAAAACGGATTGGTTATTACAAAGTGTTCCAGGGGAAAGAAAAAGCAACATCTTGTTATATAACAGAGGCCTAGACAATTTCCAGTCACCATGAGATTTACCCCAACATATGAGTCCTTGCTATGCTGAGACCCTGAGGGACAATCATACAGCTCATGCAGTACAAATCACTGGAAGGGATTGTTTTTAGGCTTCAAGTTAAATAGATATGAAATGTTTGGTAAACTCTCTATTATTCTGAAGCTATTGTTTGCAAAAATGACTGAACAGAAGCAAATATTTTTTTCTTTTTTAAGAATCACACAACTCCCCAATACATTTTAAAGGAGAACTCCGGGCAGAATAAAAAAATGTAGTAGCCCCTCTGCAAGGGTTATGTGCTCATTTTGTCTAGGGTGCTAAAATAAAGATGCACTCGCCCGAAACTGTCCCACCTAGGTGTTCGACCGGTCCCTGCAGCCTCTCTCCCTCCGCTCTGCCAGTGGAAAAGCCATCGGTGTCCCCACATCCAATACACTGTATTAGAAATGACGACTCACTGGTTCTTAGACAGCTGGAACGAAGGGGGAAAGAGTCTGCAGGAACCAGTCTAGCAGCCCCACTGCAAGGGTTAGGATATATTCTGCCAAGAGTTCTTTTTTAAAGGTCACCTGTACCTTAGCCATGCATGGTTACGTAAAAGGTTCACCGAAAATGTCAGGGCAAATTATATACGCAGTACATCTCTCCTATTCACGCACATTTGCAAGTATTTTGTGTCTCAAAAAAACATTGCAAGCACGGAAAAATACTTGACGGTCCTAGCAGAAATCCAGGATGCTTCAACACTCTTGTGTTCTCTGCCTGTGCTGCACTAAAAACCCCAAAACATAGATATCAGCCTAACCCATTTTACTTCTGTGGACTACAGAACACCTTCCTCCTATATTATGGAAATTAACAGAGAGAGAGGTGTTGTGTAGTCCGAGCATACTCCTCCATAGATACAGTATAGCAAGTAAATATTATCACTAGGGATGTCCCGATACCGGTACTAGCATCTGTATCGGGACCGATACAGGGCATTTTGTACTTGTCAAAATGTCCGATACATAGCGCCGAAGCTTGCGCTATGGTTTTGTTTTTTTTCTTACCTCGCCGAGTGTCACGTCACTGCTGCTCTGGTGGGCGGCGCTCCAGGTGGGGTCCTAATTTAGCTCGCCCAGAGGTGCCGGCCAGCTAAATTAAGATCTCACCTGGAGCTCCTCCCACCGGACCAGCGCTGACTCGTCGCTGCTCTCCCGCACAGTGAGTGAGGGGAAGGGGGGGGAATCTATTAACTATGGGATAAATGTAAATCTATGGTCTCCAGTCTATTAGCAGTGTGTACTCTATATGTAACACATATAGAGTACACACTGCTAATAGACTGGAGACCATTGATTTACAATTCTCCTCTGCTAACATGAATGGATTAAATGACCCCATATGTAGCCCTGTACTATGGATCATTTAACCCATTCATGTTAGCAGAGGATAATTGTAAATCTATTGTTGCAGTGCACTCTATATGTACATGTACTACATATAGAATGCACTGCAACAATAGATTTACAATTATCCAATGCTAACATGAATGGGTTAAATGATCCGTAGTACATAATAATACATAACATGTAGTTGTACTACAGATCATTTAACCCATTCATGTTAGCAGTGCAGAATTGTAAATCTATTGCTGCAGTGCATTCTATATGTAGTACATAGTACATGTACAGATTCCCAATTCACTGCAGCAATAGATTTACAATGATCCTCTGCTAACATGAATGGGTTAAATGATCCGTAGTACAACTACATGTTATGCACTATTATGTACTATGGATCATGATTTAACCTATGCATGTTAGCAGGGGATAATTGTAACTCTATTACTGCAGTGTACGGGACATGCGTGCTGTATATGTACTATGGATCATGATTTAACCTATTCATGTGAGTATGGCAGAATTGTGAGCACCTCCCCCAAGCTGAGCACCGAGACGCGATGCAGCGATCCTGCCCAGCGCCGACTACGAGAGGCACCGCGTAAGGCAACAGGGATCAGAGTGAAACTGTGAGTGAGAGAGGCTGGGACAGGGCTGGCTGTAAATCTATTGCTATAGTGTACTGGACGTGTGTAATGTATATGTAGTAACTATATACAGCACACACCTCCACTACACTACAGCAATAGATTTACAATTCTCCACTGCTAACATGAATAGGTTAAATCATGATCCATAGTACATAACATGTAGTTGTACTATGGATCATGTAAAGTCACTTGGCCCTTTAAGAAAAAGTATCGGTAATTGGTATCAGCAAGTACATGAGGGGAAGTACTTGTACTTGAAAAAGTGGTATCGGGACATCCATAATTATCACCCTATAAAGGTGTAGCAGCAATGCCAGGTGAAAATAAAGGGAAAACAAGTCTGAAAAAGAAATTAATGCAGACACCACATCTTCAAAGTGGTAAGATGCAAGATTACATTTTTTTTTCTTGGGTTTAGATACACTTTAGTGGCTATTTGCCTTCCTTTTTCTCCCCTGCCACTCTGTTCAGTTGCCAGGAATGAAGAGGAGAAATCCTATGTAATGTTCAAGTTGTGACATACTCAGGGATATGGACTCTTATCCCACCCCCATATGACAGCATAAAGTGACAGAGCGGCCATGCCACATTCGAAAAAAAGGGGGGAGACTTACTTCTCCTACCCGGTAAGGCTGAGTAATTTTGTCTTTACTCTCAGTGGACAAATGAAGCAGTGGAAGAGAGAATGGGAGAATGTACAGCTGAAGAGGGCCGCAGTTAAGTGAACCTGTTGCTCTGACCTGCATGAAACATTTACTTATGTATGGGCAGCTACAGAATGGGCTTGTCATTAGACAAGCCCATTCATACTCAATCCCATGTTCCAGCATGTCTCATGTACTGTACGGTTACTGCAGTTAGACCTACATTTGACCCTATGTCCAATAAGTAATAAACAGCTTTGGAAAAAGTAGCTCTGGTAAGCTTACTAACCTACAAATCCATTCAGGAATAATGCAGAATTAAAGTACGACTCCAGGGAGCGTTATAGGTCTAGTTAGATTTATTCATCAAATCAAATAATAACAAACACTGCGGATGAGCGCAGTAATCAATTGTCTGACATATGCCATAAAGTTTATAATTATGCTCTGAATTAGCCATGACTGCATTATGGGCTCCTACAAATTATATTTACAGGCATGCTTGCGATTATTAACGCTCAGCTGAGAACTATGAACTAGTCCTTCTAGAAGCTAGTCACAGGCATATGTAATAAACTGCTCATCACATGATAACAAATGACAATGTGTATGTTGTATTGGATATTTATCATTGAAGAAAAGCAACTTACTTTCTTTGTATGCAATCTCTTCTTCTTTTCTTAATTTTCTTTCCCTAAAAATGGCTTCCGGACTCCCCCAAACTTCCAAAGCCCTGTGGAAAGGATTGCCTAGTTTTACTTTTTTTTTTTGGTGATTAGCAAAAAGCCAAAAAGAGAAAATACTGATAATGCGCCATGTGTTCTATTATAATGTTTGACTGGTCCAACAGAGATCTTCACCTGACTGGCAAAAGGTAATTGTGCTGAGCATGCTTTCTTTTTCAACATTGTCTGTTCCTGCAATACTCTCCCATTCGGTTTCCATGCTGCCTGTGTATCGAATGCAAAATTAACCCAAGGTCTGTCCACCTCTGAGTATATGCCAGGCTTGTAACTGTTAGGGCAGGGCTGGACAAATCCCAGGAACCAGGTAGCCAATGCTCCTTAAAAATTATAGCTGGTGCCTAACTTTTGAGGTTTTCTTTAGGAGCTGGCACCTAAAAATAAAATCCTGCTGGCTTCTGGATTCCATATTAATTTGTCCACCCCGGTGTTAGAGCCCAAAACATAGATATTGAATTTAAGTTGCTCAATATAAGTTCCTTCTGCAAATTACTTTCGCATTGATAGACTGTACACCTTAATACGAGGTGTAACAATTGAACAAGGCAGCTGCCTGAGGAGGTGGGCAGTCCACTTGGGAACATGGCATTCTGAAGATAAGGCATATCATTGTCCTCAAGTACACATGGTACAAGTCTCATTCACTTTCCTCCAAACAAAAGGAACATTCAGTACCTATTCAGATGCATTGGAATATCTTTGCATGTACTAAGTCCTCCAAGCCTTCAAACGCACTAACTACTTACCTTTAATTAACCCAATGAAAGCCTAGCAATCTCTAGAGGGTCATAAGTTTTAAAGGACCCAGATACGTTGCTTGCTCTTACTGGACAGTTTATGTAAACCATTAGCACAACCCCTCCTAGTGACAGACAGAAAGCACATCGCTGTGTACAGGGCTACATCACTGAGTAACAGCAAGTTCTACCTGATCTCTTGCTAAAATCACTGCTAGCACGGAGGAGGAAAAAAACACTGATACATAATGTTTTTAAATAGTTTTTGCTCAATATTGAGACCTTAACATACCATTTCATTATTTTGCAAACACTTATGACATCTTGCCTGCTGAATCAGAGCCAGATTATGAAAGCAAAGCTTATGGAAAAAGATGAAGTCTTAATAAACTGGCGTGCCAGTAACTAAGCAAAGCAATATACACAATATCCCAAAATCTAATGAACTGTCTTAGATGGGACCTTACTGCCCCAGAACTAGTTTGAAGTCACAGCATTGCTGCTCCCAAAACAGGTACTTAGCTCTCTGCTGGATTCCCAAGATTGTTTGATCATGCTTACTTGCACTAATGGAGATAACAGCATCTGAAGTTTGATACCAATGTCTGCTTATTTAATGGTGCCCCTACAGAGCTACAACACAACAAAGGTGATTGGGTTCCGTGTACTGAAATATTCCCTTTATCCCTCACAGTAATTCCACTTATTTGGTGTGTCATCCACTTTGGGTGCCTGCTGATTTGATCCATCTCAGTCACACGTAGAAAGAGTTCTTATTTGCAAATATTTTCACTTACTTGGTCTCTACGTCCGACCTTAGGAACACAGTAAAAGATTCTGTGTCATCGTGGGGACTTCTCCGTCCGATCTTTCGGAGTGATTCCAGGTCACTAAGGCAAAAAAACAATAAAGCAAAATGAGAGATAAAAAAACTACAGAAGGAGCCAATCAGGTGTGTTACAATGCAAGCAGCCATGCTGATAGAAAGACAAAGCAGAGTGACAGAGAGGAGTAGTGTGCTGCTTCTCCTTCACTACCCAGTCACAGGGTGGGGCTGGGGAAGGAACCTGTAAGTGAAGCAAAGAAAGATCAGGTTCTCTCCCCTGCCAGACAGGGCTGTGCTATGGGGCAGAGTTGTGTAAATCTCAGGACTGGATGGACAGAAATACAAATCACTTGGCAGGCAAAACAGCTCATATATGTAATCCGTCTGTGTATTTAATGGTTTGTCTGGAGTTCAGCTTTAGGAAAGCATGCCTGGCACCCAACTAGGTCACCTTTCTTAATGTTTTTTTCCCCAAGAAACCCTTAAAATAATGTTTAGGTCTCAGGGAACACCTGCTAAAATTAATCATTTGGGGGCCAGTGGGAAGAATGCCACTTACATTGGTGATCAGGGAAGAATACCCCTTATAGTGGTGGTCAGAAAGCGACCCTTACCAACAGCTACAAAGATCACTGGTGTCATGCTTCTGGCCCTGCCAACCCAGATCTATGCAGGCACATCAGATGGGAGGTCAATATATCACAGCTCAGATTCCTACAAGCGTGACCAAGGAGTAAGCACAGCTAAAGGGAAACTCTCCTCCATGAAACAACTATTTCAGCAGCGCTTCTCATCCTCATCCTGGTAAGGATGGCTGCCAGCCACTACTGTCTTGAGGTCGAGTCAGGTAAAAGTAAAATTATAATTCATGAAGTGGAAGCTTCTCTGGATGCATCTACAAGTTGTATTTGATACCTGGATTTAAGGCAAAATTCATTCATTGCTCGTACGCCGGTGATGAAGTTATTCTTCATGTATTTTGTTCCATAGTCTCTCTTTTTAAGTACTGCCTTAACTGAAACACAAAGATATATAAAACACATTAAAAATGTCAACCAAGTGACTAGAATTTGTAATATTCAACTATCATAAAACAAAAATAACAGAAAAAAATGATTATTTCAAATAATCCAGATTACAGTGCAATGTGTAGCTGTGTTGTCCAAGTGCCTATCTCTTCTATTAAAACAAAGACATGCATGTGTTATATCAGAGCAGCCTGAATGGCTCCTCAATTCTCGTATCATTTGTCCTCCTCTTCTTAAACAATATTGCAAAACTTTTCTAACAGAGAACTAGGGATGCACCGATACCAGTTTTTCAAAGATGAGTATTGATATTTTTTTTTCGGTACTCGCCGATACCGAGTATCGGTGCTGTGTGCCCAGATTATCAGGATGTTGGGCGGCGGATTATAACCCGTCGCCCGGCTTCCTGATTTCCTGTGAAGACAGTGTTCTAGCGAAAGAACACAACCTTCACTTGCCAAGGCTGTCTGGCTTCCTGATGACCAATCAGGAAGCCGGGCGGCGAGTCATGAGGTGCCGTCTGGCTTCCCAATTGGTCAGAAAGCCAGGCTTCCAAGCAACAAGGGAAGCTGCCTTCCTAGCCAATCAGGAAGCCGGGCAGCATGTCATGACCCCCCTCCCGGCTTTCTGAATGGCTAGGAAGCCAGATTCACTTGTTGCTAGGCAGCCTGGCTTCCCAACCAATCTGGAAGCCGGGCGGCGGGACATAACTCAGCGCGCGGCTTCCTGATTGGAAAGGAAGCCAGCTCCACGCTCCCTCTGCATTTGCGGTCAGAGGGAGATCCAGGATCGGAGGTAAGTATTGGGAGCATTTGGGTAAGTAAGAGTATCGGTACAGATACTGACACTAGTATCGGTGCATCCCTATAGAGAACCCATGCTTGTACAGCGAGTATTCATCCTGGGGCATCCCTCCGTCGGAACCAGCTAGCTCAGGCTACTCCTCTGTGACCCTGTCTCGAAGTCCGTACTAATGGGTAACTACCCCTGATGTTTTGAATTTATATCCCCCATTGGGCTTCTCCCGGTCTACTGTATTCCTTTATAAGGTTAATTTCTATGTACATTGTATGTGATGTATAATGCAAGCGCCACTTGATGTGGGCATCAAACTTGTTTATTTGTTTTCACGACTCATAAATGACAAAACAATAAAAATCTTTGAACTAAAAAACTAAAAAGGATGCTCGATTTGAAAATTGAAATTATGGATGCAAAAGAAATTTAATGATAAAAAGAGCAGCTTACTGAAAAAATTGTGTGTCTGTTAAATATATACATACTGGTCCCGCAAATGATATTTCCAGTTGTTATTCAGGTGAGATCAGAAGCTTGTTTATGTCAGTATACAGTGTAAATATTAGGACCACAACTACAGATTTAGCTACAATTAAAAAAAAAAAAAAGTAATACAAGCATTCCAGTGTTCTTCACCAAGAATTCAAAAGGGAACCTTTGTTACATGCCAGCAGAGTGCGTTCACTTTCTTTTTTTTTTACACAGAAAGGAACGAGGATTTGCAATACTTGTCTTTTGGGTGAAGGCATCTGGAATCCCAACTGACTGATCTCAATGGTAACACATCACCTACTGCAAGTACAGATGATACGCAGACAGTTATCACAAACCTTTGACTTGAATAGGATCCGGAAGAAGAGCGCTCTTCTGTTCTGGATTACTGGAATCCTGGCCTGTCAATACATACCATTCAAAGCTCATTTATATATCTTCATTCATATACTTAAAGTAATAAATGATACCTTTCAGCATACTTTTTTATAAAAACACAAAAGGTGTGTTTTTATCATTATTTTAATAAAAAGGTGTGCTTTTTATTATACATAATACAGGTTGAAGGAAATCCATCAGGTGGTGTGACTTAATTCAAACGTGGAAGAGGACCTAGGAACTGTGAAACTGGACAAGGTGGAGGAAGCTGTGGCATAAGTTTGGTGTCTAGCTGCAAATGGAACCGACTCTACCGAGGGAAATCCAGAGACGGTACTGTGCAGAGGGTAACTTAAAGTGACATTAAACCCTCAGATTTTTTAACATAAACCAATACTGTAATGTGCGCCTTACTGTAATCCATGGTTGTTTCCCTTCTCTTTGCTGCTCTTCCTTTTAAATCCTTATCTCTTCTCATGCTTGGGGATAACTTCCCTTTTCAGCTCGGGGCCTCTTCCTGTAGTGCTGGCTCAGGTTGTGAACCTTCACACAGACACCATGTATCCATTCCTGAGACAAGACAGTCTTCTGCAAAAGAGAAGTTCTGCCCAGCATGAGAACAGATACAGATTTAAAAGGAAGAGCAGCAAAGAGAAGGGAAACTACCATGGATTACAGTAAGACACACATTACAGGATTGTTTCATGTTAAAAAATCTGAGGGTTTAATATCACTTTAATGTCGCAGAAGGAAGTGATGTGTGAAACCGCAGAAAGATATTTAGAACTCATGCATAGGTCAGTTTTTGCAAGACTGGAAGGAGTGACTTGACAGGAACTGTAACTCCATACAGATTTCAACCACCAAATAACATGACACAGACAGAAAAAATGGCAGCAACACTGTAACTGAAAAATGATAAACACATGCATTTATCATTAGTGGTTATAAACAAAGGAAAAGAAAACTTCTTGAAAAATGCAAACGACTAATGGATGGCAAGAAAATGAATATCCGTTTGTTTTGCTAATGGTGGCAGATGTTTTTGTCTTATAAATCTTATACGTGGGAGATGAGGCTTGAAGTAATGCTGTTCAGATATTCAGGAGCTGCAATAAGTGACTATTTTGCTAACAAAATGTACTTTTTGACGTGGGTTGAATGTAATAGCTGCAGTGATTTTTAGAGTATATTAGAAAACATTGGCATTACCTATACTTAGACACATGGCATTCAAAATAATAAGAAAACAGTTAACCTATAGACAAAGAAACGGGTACACGTGCCAGTTCAGCTAGAAAGTGCCTACATGTGTACGGTACTGCTAAAGCAATGGATGAAATATTGTCTTGCAGGTGACAGCAAGTACCACAGAACCAGGGTAGGAGAAATGAAAGAAAGAAGGGATTTCAGTCTTTCAGACACTGTGCTAAATCTATGCAGACACTGTCGGCTTCTAGCAGTCTGATCTTCAGAGATTACATAATCATAGTGCAGCATACAATTCATCGATTGTAACTTGTGGCACTGAAGAGATTGACTCAAACATGTACACAAAGCAGATGCCTTTCTTATTCTCAGTACTGGTCTGCAGTTCCAGTGCAGATGTAGAAGGGCTGAACGTACACAATGCAATGCTTACAATGGTTTGGGCAAGTAAATACAGTTCCAAAAGAACAAAGAAGTGGTTATATTTACAAATTTGCTTGGTATCTTTGCATTTGTTAAAAGAGCTATTGTTTTTTCAAAGAACAGTAAACTCCCCATTAGCCGGCATTCAAGAAACCTGCAAAGAAAATATGTCTAGTGCACCCACCCACTGAGTAGAAGAGCGGACCTGAGAGAGAAAGTTCTCTCTCAGGTCCGCTCCTTTGCTCAGTGGCTGGGAGCAATAGCCACACTGCTATTGGCTATTTTAAACTGCCAAGGCCAATAACTGGCTGGCTATTGCACCCGCCCACTCAGGAGCAGACCTGAGGGAGAACTTTCTCTCTCAGGAGCCGAGTTACTATTAACTCTCAAGCAACCAGAAACTATAGTTATCCAGTATCTACCGATCACTGTGGATCGCAGATAACTAGGAGCTTACTGTATATTATTATTATTACATAGTATTTATATAGCGCCAACAGTTTGCGCAGCGCTTTACAATGTAAGGAAGACATTACAATTACAATACAATTTAAGACAAGATGGTAAGGAGGGCCCTGCCCCTGAGGGCTTACAATCTGAAAGAGGAGGGGGAAATGATACATGAGGTGGTAGCTGTGTGGGGATGAATTGTTTGAGAATGTGATGCTTTTACATATGCTTTGCACACGGATTCTTATGATGTAGGATGATGTATGACTATCTATGATCCATGTAATGATAGGGAGCACTGCCTCCTGATAGAATGTTTTAAACAATTTCACTCAAGATTTTTTAATAGTGATAATTAATAAAAATATGATATTTTACTCTCTCTCTCTCTCTCTCTCTCTCTCTCTCTGTAGAGAGAGAGAGAGAGAGAGAGAGAGATAGATAGATATAGACTGTATATATAGATTCCTCCATCTATGCTAAACTGTGTGGATGGAGGAATCTGCCACTGGGCCAAGCTTCAGTATCTAGCTAGTCGGCCCCGCTGGCTCTCAAAATACCTGAACAATGCCTGCATCAAATCAGATTGTTCGGGTATTTTGAGAGCCAGCGTGGCCGACTAGCAAGATACTGAAGCTTGGCCCAGTGGGAGATTCCTCCATCCATACAGTTTAGCGTAGATGGAGGAATCTGTTGCACTTTTTCCATCTGACCATAGAAAATCTGCAGAAAATCTATAGGTGTATGGCCGGCTTAACTGTTCTAAGTTAAAAACATCACTCACATCACACACTGGGCCCTAGCCTTCTCATCTTCAACACAGAGGAACAGGGTCCTTCATTGATTCTGGGAGAGGTGGTCACCTCCGATTCACTGTCCAGTGGTGAGATTCTCCCAGGATCTACAAGACTCCAGTGGTGGGATGACATCATAAATTGGCAAACATTTGGCAAGAGTAAAAATTGATTCTTCACTCCTGAAAGCAATGTTGGAGAGGAACATGGACTTGTGAGTCAGACTTCATAAGATATATTTTTTTAACAAGTGATGAATGGGTGAAAGGGGGAAATCTTTAGGGTGAGATGGGCTTTACATTTTTGTGCTTCTGAAAACCTATGTCTGACAGCACCCCTTTAGCAACAGTCTAATAGTTCTGGTTTACTAGGTTTCATCTGTCGCACCCTATAGGGTTGGTTGATGGATACCTAGCAGGACTTTTAAGGCGCTACAAATAGTTTTAAAACGACCACCAATAAAATTTGACATTTGACATATAATGTTAAAAATGCATATAAAAACAACTTAATTGACAGATAGCAAAATGTCTAACTATCTAAAAACATGTAACTAAGATTTTTCCACAGGTTCTTCAACATCATTTTTCCATGGTGGAAATGGAACAGCCTTTTTTTGGCAGGTTTCATAATGATTGCTTCTTCAGGAGGAGCATAGACGATCTATATTAAGATGATGCCCCTTTAAATGGCAACACAAGAAAACCAAGATCAACCCAGTACCCCAAATGCAGGAAGTTGTGCCACCTGGGATATATTATTAACCCGCGGTCAATGAGCACATGTAATGAATTCCTAAAAATTCCTGATTAACATTGATTAACCCAGTACAAATAATTTTATTATTCAGGTTGAGTCTTGCCAGCAGACAGAACCAGGTTCATTTAAAAGTTTTCTGCAATCCAATCCATAAAAATATATTCAAATGTAGTGATCTTTGCACAGTCTTTATTGTGACATTCAAAGAGTCAATGGCAAAATCAGGCTCAAATGTTAGTAGCTTCAGAATAGATGATATATAGAATACTAGAAGGTTCTTGCAGATTCAGCATCTCTCCTAAGGTATGCTTCTAAATGGACAATGGTATGCCTTCAGGGCTCCAATAAAATTGGGAGCAGACAGTCCTCATAAATGGGTTTCTGAGGTAAGGCCAGGTCTCGTTAGGTATGTATCAATGTATTATTGTTTTGAGTTGTTAGGATGTGGTGCTCATACTTACAGTTGTGTGAAAGTACACCCTTTTTGAATTCTATGGTTTTAAGTAGGGATGCGCCGATACCGTTTTTTGGGTATTGAGTACGACTACCGATATTTTTTTTATCGGTACTCACCGATACCGTATACCGATGCCGGAAGTCCCATTAAGGAAGCCAGGCAGTGTGTAATGAGCAGTTACCCTTGCAGTGCCTGGATAGCCTCACTGCAAGGCTTAATAAACGTTTTGCCTGTTATACAACACAGTTCGTTACAATACAGGGTAATGAACTATAGATGTGTGTTTTGCATAAATCGTAGCCTGTCAGACACACACACTAGAACTTTAAGTCCATTTCTATCCCCAAGAAAGTTTTTATTTTTGCTAATTTACAAGGCTTCCAAATTCTTCCCCAAGTATTAAGAGAGCCCTAGCGCAGGCAGCTGTTTCCCAGCTACCTGCTCCACACAAATCATCATACAAGCTCAACACAAGTTACAATTTCATGGCAGAAAAAAAAAGAATTATAAAAAGGCATCATATTCTATTTGATCTGATCAAATTGTACCGACCGAATAACCATACTACTACACTAGGGTTTAAAAGATCAGATTAGTACCCCTAAAATCAGCTTGTAACATGGGAAGGGCAATACTGCAGCACCCTGTATTGGTTTTCTGTACGAAGAGCCAACTTTCACAGGTAATCATTTACAAGATAAAATGTGAAACTTTGTATACAGAAATCAATCCAAGAACAGAGGTCAGACCTATCTTGTAGTGTACACCCTTACTTAGACTAATAGCAATTTGTTTGTTTCATAAATAATGCACATGCCCAGCTCAGAGGGCCAAAATGAGACGGCGCAGTATTATTTTCCACTCAGCAAGACACATGATCATATAGAAAACAATACCACTTTATCCAATTTACAAGATTTATATTTATTATACAACTTCAGCCTGATCTGAAACAGAACTACGGTACTAAAATTTCTGTTCGACACGCCTAGTTTTTATTAGCATCACCAGCAGGTATATTATATGTGCTTAGAAAAAACTCAAATTAACACACAAATAGGAATGATGTCGTTCAAACATGGTGTAGATTAAAGTGACATTAAACTCAGGAGTTAAATCTCAAAAGTATATTCAAGTACCTTATTAAACAAAAATATATCTTATTTGTGTATCACTTAGCTGTAGATCCTCAAATCATCTCTGAATTGGTGCTGACACTGTCCTTCCTTCTGTAGGGTGGCTACTTTTGTTCCCCATGGTCCCTGTGTGTGTTGTAAAGTAACCACCGCTCCAAGCTCACTCCTGGGATGGACAACAGTCTCACGTTTAGTTTACTCATTTGTATTAAGATTGTAGTCCATCACAGCAGCGAGCTTGGAGCAGTGACTACTTTACAAAACACAGGGACCATGGGGAACAAAAGTAGCCACCCTACAGAAGGAAGGACAGTGTCAGCACCAATTCAGAGATGATTTGAGGATCTACAGCCGAGTGATACACAAATAAGATACATTTTGTTAAGTTAGGGTACTTGAATGTATTTTTAAGATTTAACTCCTGATTTAATAAAAAATACATATTACATATTTCTGTCCTCAGCAGTTGAGTATACATTTACATTTTAGCATTGGTCACCTGGCTGCACTGTGTATGTGGGTTGGATTTTTGTCAACTAACCCATGTGGGTAACCGCCCTGTAAGTATAGATCTGCAGGTATATAGCGCCATTCTAGGTCCATGTGACTGCTGCAGTGCTAGAGGTTATCCACTATGAAGTAATCCAAACAGTGCCAGCGCCTAGTCTAGTTCATGTCACCATTTTTGTATCGCCAGCAAGAAAAGAAGAAGAGATATGTGACTTTTTCTCCTTAACCAAACCACTATCTTTTCTTTGCTCCTGTGTTTACAGACAAGACCTTCTATGTGCGAGGGACAGCACTGGAGACAGTAGTGAGTGTTGCAGCACAAGCTGCTTTTTTTTTTTGTTAACTGGCAAAAGGCAAAATATTTTTTAAAGCCCATAGCTAGCATAAGGGCCTGTTCACAACTTAGCGCAGCATTAAAGGAGAAGTATCGGGAGAGTAAAATGTACTTTTCACAATACTTAAGAGCCGGTGTTCTATCAAAATACGTGACTCGGTGCTCGCTGGCTGATTATACCATTCCTACAGTTACTGTTTGTGAATCGCCCCCCTCTGCAGCCCCCACAAAGTCCAAAAGAAGTGACATTTGAGACCAATCGGCTGCTCCAGGCAGATGATCGGTTCTCCTGCACATGCGCAGTGAGCTCATCTGTCCTGGAACAGCCGACAAAGCATTGGAATGATTGACCTAATGGGCAGTCACACATTCCATTGCTGTGAAACTGGGCGGGACTACGTTGGAATCTGTGACTGCATCACCGGTCACACATTCCAACGTAGTCACTAACTTTGATTGAACACCGGCATGCGACCCTGCAGCTGTCACATGATGGCTCTATAGATCAAGAGGTGATCAATCACAAACCGCTGATCACTTCACTCACAGTATTCTCCCTGCAGAGACCGGTGACTGTTAATCACTGCTCTGTGCAGGTATTCCCCCACCCCCTCGCTCTGTTGCTCCAACACTCACTGGAGGGACAGACAGGGGAGGGGGCAGGCACAGCTGGGTCTGCCTCTAGAGAAGCAGAGCCAGCTGTCATTCAGGCTATCGGGGGTGATCCTGCCAGTATTGTTGGGATCTTTCCCAGCTACAGCGCAGCTCTGTGCTGTCAGCATATTGCAGCAGTAGCCCGGTACATGCTGACTTTGGGTCACAGGAGTAAAAGGTTTGGCTTTAGTTCTCTTTTAATCGAATGATGCCATGTGATAGTGTATGTTAATCACATGGTATTATTCGATTAACACTGCTCTTAGATGTGAATGATGAAAAAGCATCACTGGTACTACACAATGAAGAGTTCTAAGGGGATTCCCCATAGGTCCTTCTTATTGTTGTGCTCCCCAATCTGTTCATAGGCATCTTTGCACATAATGGTATTTCTTCTTCATCAAATGTAGAATCCTGGATGTCTTGTGTATACATTTGGTTTTTGTTAGTTTCAGAAAGAATAGGGAAAGGTTAAAAATCACTGCCAGTTTGTTTTTTTCTTTCTATTTTTCTGCCCCTATCTTGGAGACAAATCTGGAATTGAGAGGAAATCTTCCAAAAATGAGGAAAATTCCATCTCAGACAGCTGTCACTGAAACAGTCTCCACAGGAAGATTTTCCCTTGCCTCCAATTCCAGTGAAATTTTGGATTTCTGACTACTTTTTTTGTCCCAATGACAATGGCCACCAAAGAGGGTGAATATCCTTAGTGGGACACAGAAATAAAAAACTAAAAGATGTTTTAGATTAAGAGATACCGTATTTGCCGGCTTATAAGATGACTTTTTATATTTAAAAACATCCCCTGAAAATCAGGGGTCGTCTTACAAGCCGGGTATACAATCTTTCAGCCCGCTGGATGTGTGGTAATACTGTATGTACGGTAGCTTCTGCTACATACAGTATAACGCGCTGAGCCAATCAGGTCGAGCGATGTATTCTATTAATGAATACAAAGCCTGCTTGGATTGGCAGCGGTTGTGTACATCGCTCGCTGTGATTGACTCAGCGCAATATACTGTATGTAGCCGAAGCTACCGTCCATACAGTATTACCGCACATCCAGCGGGCTGACAGATTAGCCTCCCTGGCGGTCTGATTATTTATTTATTTTTTCCCTTTTTTGTTCTATTTTGTTTTAGGTTTTTTTTTAAACTTTAAAAATTCCCGCCGGTTCCGCCCCCCTGCGACGCGGACGCTCGCAAAGGACGGAACTCGGAGGACACAGCGGGGATCGTGGACAAGTTAAGAGACGCTACGCTGTAATCCCGAGTGTGGCTCGGGGTTACCGCTTATGGTACTGAAAATTAACCCCGAGCCACACTCGGGAATAGCGCCATGGAGGTTAGTGGGTGTATTTAAACATTATTTTGGGCTATACTCATCTTATACGACGAGTATAGCCCAAAACCTATATTTTAACAGAAAAATTAGGGGGTTGTCTTATACGCCCAGTCGCCTTATACGCCGGCAAATACGGTACTTCACTTCTAAGTATACCATTGCTAGCAGGTAGGTATTTTGGTAGAAGCGTATGCTGTATGCTTCTACCACAAAATCTCTCCCCCTGCCTACTAGCAGGCTTTTAAACAAACTGATCACTGGCCGCTGTGTATCCAAAGTTAATTATATATATGTAGGTCTTGGACAAAGAAACATACAGCAGACTCCTCATTATTCGGCAAAAAAATAAAAATAAAAAATGATGTCCTTGATGTGTTTTATTTTTTGCTTGCGGCCTGATGCACACTAAAAAATTGTCAGTTGCTTGGTGCACACTAAACATTTTTGTTAGCAACTATATTTATTTAGTTGCTCACGAAAATCTTTGTTTACATCTTGTTGCCGGCCAGCAACTAGATTCTGCGGTCGGCAGCAGAATGTAAACAATAGGGAGCAATAGCCAGCCTGCTATTGGTTATTGCAAATTGCAGTAGCCAATAGCAGTCTGGCTATTGTACCCACCCACTGAGCAGAGGAGCGGACCTGATGGAGAACTTCGGGGCTACTATTAACTCTCAAGCAATCAGAAATCACAGTTATCCAGCACCTACCGATCCCTGTGGGTGCCGGATAACTGGCAGTTTACAGTATTTGTGAGTTTTACATTATCCCAGACCCACCAATTAAGACGGCTGAAAACTCTGGACCCAGAAGCAGATGGAAGCAACAAGGGGAAGGGCGGCCATCGCAGAGCTGGAGGTGTCCATCTATCATTTTATGCAAATGTGCTGAGCATACGTGTACATTATAGCTAAAGACCACTCACCATGATGAGGACTTTAGTTCAGCTTTAGAGAGAAGAGGTCCTATGCTCCCCTACACCTAAAATCTCTACTCTGTTGGAGAAACAGAGCAAGAGTTCAGACGCAGCGGGGAGGTGACAGTGTCCCTTTAAATGCATTACTCTGATCATTAGCCCGTTTGTAAATATGATGTCCCAAACTTTACACTGTATTATCCTGCGATGTTGCATCACTAAAGAATGAACAATCTGCTCCTCTGCCTTTTTTCTCAGTCCTGTGTCATACAACTGATTCATTGTCACTATAAAGTTGTTTAAAGTTAAAAAAAATATTAATTACCTGATGTACCTGCTGCAGATTTATCTGCGGAGCTTCCAGCACCAGGTTCTGTTGGTTTGTTGGTTTCCTTCTGATCATTAGAAGTATAAAGTCTGATTTGTGCTTGTACTGGCAGTCGACTAGATGGCATTAAGCACAGGACTCCTCTGTTCTTTAGAGAGTACTGCCACCCTGCAACAAGAATCAAAGCATAGGTATCAATACTAATGAAGGCTACAGGACGGATCCAGAACAATATATTTCGGAAGCATCATGTAAAAACACAATGCTGCATTTACCCCATGTCACTTCCAACAACCTGAATATAATAACACGATCATTGTATCATCATTATAGATTTTACCTGATGGTACTCTATACTTATGCAATATTTCACAGCGCAGTTTGAACTTTCTATGTCTGTGACAGGTACACTTTAACCAAAGCTGTGCTGTTTTTTTCCCTTTTAAAAATTTTGATTAGAAAACATACAAATAAAGAAAACTTAAGGGTCTAGTCACTAAAGGGTGAAGAGTTCGGAGAAGGCAGGAGAAGGGAACAATCTAGGACAGCATAGCTGATTTGGAAACATTCTCCAATTCAGCTCACTTTCCAGTTCAGCTATGCTGTCCTAGATTGTTCACTTCTCTGGCCATCTCCAAACTCTTCACCCTTTTATGAATAGACCCCTTAGATTTATTTCAAGCAGAAACAAATTAGCGGCCATGTGATATCAATAATGGTACTTCCTCAAAGAATGTTATTTCCTGATTAAAAATAATTTTCTAAGCAATGAAATGTCACGCATGACTGATTGTATGCACTCAGGAAAACTATTGTACAGCAATCACAGTGACGATCTGTATCCACTCTCACATAATGCAGGCCTGAACCAGAAGTCTCCTGATCAGAGCGGTAACGCTGGTTTCTGTGGCTGGGAACACATATATATCTTATTTCAAGTACCCAGGAGGCACTTTAGATGGGTCAAAGGAGAAGCTGTGCTTTTAAAATACATTTTAGTAACCACATGAAATCAAACAATGAAGCACATTGAAAACACGATTCAGTAAACATAAGGGATCATTTGGGAAATGTTTAAACACAGTTACAAGGGCACTGGCAATAAATATTAAAAAATCAATAAAAACTTTACAGAAGCTTAGCCACCTCAGGAAAATGTAGTGAGAGCCCCACTCCAGCCAAACATTTAAAGGGGAATCTGAGTTTTATTGCTGTATGTGTCCATGCTGGGCAGATTTTCTCTCACTGCCCACTCACATTGAGACACGGGTGACACCGGGACAGGCAGTGAGGGGAAATGGGCAGATTTTCTCTCACAGTCTACCCACACTGAAACACAGGTGACACCGGGACAGGCAGTGAGGAGAAATGGGCAGATGTTCTCTCACAGTCTACCCACATTGAGACACGGGTGACACCGGGACAGGCAGTGAGGAGAAATGGGCAGATTTTCTCTCACAGTCTACCCACATTGAGACACGGGTGACACCGGGACAGGCAGTGAGGAGAAATGGGCAGATTTTCTCTCACAGTCTACCCACACTGAAACACAGGTGACACCGGCACAGGCAGATTTTGTCCCCCTTTAGGCCCTGTTCACATTGAGCGGTTCGCAAATTGCGCGATTTGCATTTTGCCCGATATCGCGCAAATGCTTGCATTGGGCAAGCTTGAATCGCGGCTAAATCCGTTTCAAAAAGGGTCCTGCTGTAGCGACCCGCGACAGCAGGACCCTTTGCCCCATTGAGAAGCATTGGAGAGCGATATCACGCGGTAAATTGCCGCGATATCGTGGGAATTACCGCACGATAAATCGCTCAATGTGAACGGGGTCTTAAACTATATTACGTTTGGAGTGATGGGTGATCAAGGCACCACATCTCTCACACCAAAACTATGACACATTCAGGGAAATTCAATATTGTGTCTGCACCAGAATTCTGGCACTAATGCAGCCTAAAGAATGTCTGTGCCAAATTCTAAAACATGCTGCACCATTTCCAGACTCCAGCACTGACTCCTGCACCGGATTCAAGTAGTTCTTATTTGCACCATATTTCATTCTGGGGCTGGGCTTGCAGCACATTCAATAAACTCCAACAGTTTGGTAATTAGAAAAGTGATGTAAAGTAAGACCGAGTACTTTTTGACATAAGTCTGTGGCACGTTCATACTGCATAAGTCTGTCACAGTATGCAACACATACCTCAGGTGCAACATTCCTTGAAACTGAGGATCCAACTGAAATCTGTCTCAGACACATATGAGATACTTAGGACTAAAGTTTGCCTCTCAAGCCAGCGCCAGCTTCATAGGTTTGCTGCATTCATGAACCCTATGCAGGCTTGTACATGAATTTGGAGCAAACAACACTATTCCTGTAACCCTGAGACACTTTGCTTACGTGTCTCAATGACACAATTTGAATTCCCTTGATTAATCTTTCAATTGAACTTTTTTGGTGCCGCTATAGTCACAGACTCATACATACAAAAATTTTTAAAAACGGTTTATTAAGTTCACAAGCTACACCACATATAGATTTGAAGCAAAGGGTCAATATTAGAGGTGCACCGAAATGTAAATTTCAAAACCGAAACGTAACCGAAATAAAAAAAAAATATGTCAGGCCGAAACCGAAAATGTTTATTTTAAATTTTTTCACATTTTTTTCATATTTTATTTTTTATAAACTTTTCAATTTTTCATATTTTTATTTATTAATTTTTTATTAAATATTTTTATTTTTTTACTTTACTTTTAGGGGCTTCGGGGAAATATTAGGGGTCTAAACAGACCCCTGATATTTCCCTTTTAAAATAGAAAAAGAGATTGATGACACAGTCCTCAATCTCTTTTTCTGCAGCACCTGTTTTCAATGAACAGGAATCCTCCATACTGAGTGTTCCTGTTCATTGATAACTTGAGGACGTGGTATGTTTACTATAACCACAATCATGAATGAAGAGGAGGTGGTGTAGATCACTCCCATTCATTCACAATTGAGGATATAGTACACATACCATTGTTAGTAAACCTCAATGATCGCTGAGTGTTTGAATTGGCTCTCCTGTCTGACAGCTGTCACAGGAGGCTGAGTGAGCGGTGCAGGGAGGAAAGCCCAGCCTCCTGTGACAGCGCTGTCTCCGCCCCCCACACCGGAGAGACGCTGGCCGCTCACAGTGCTCTCCTCCCGCAGCACTCAGCCGGCTGTCACAGTTTCTCTCCTCCCCGCTGGGACACAGAGCAGCACCCAACGGGGAGGAAAGAAACCAGGGATGTGCCGATGTATCGGCAGGAAAATGGCACTTTCGGCATTTAGCCAAAAGTGCCATTTTTGGCCGATATGTTTCGGCGGCCGATATATCGGTGCATCCCTAGTCAATATATCAACCGTTATAATATTAAAACCATCATTTTATACCCACACAGAGAGACCGGGACAGGTAGTGAGGGGAAAAGGGCAGATTTTCTCTCACTTTATACCCACATTGAGATACGGGTGACACCGGGACAGGCAGTGAGGGGAAATTGCAGATTTTCTCTCATCGTCTACCCACATTGAGACACAGGTGACACCGAGACAGGTAGTGAGGGGAAACACGCAGATTTTCTCTCACTTTATACCCACACTGAGGCACGGGTGACACCGGGATATGTGTTGAGAGGGAATGTGAAGTTCATGCTTGCTGCATCTTTGGAGTGGCTTCTGTTAATAGGGATGAATGGCAACTCAGGTAAAATGTACCTTTCACGCAGAAGTGTGAATTTAGCCATTGCCTAATCCAATGCTTAAAAATCCTTTTAATACTTTAATAAGTGAACTTTGTAAAGTTTTTGGTTTTTAATAACATTTATTGTGTTTGCTTAACCATATTATAACATATTTTGCAGAAATAACATTTTACATTTCAGCCCAAAAAAAAAAACCAACACATATAGACAGTGTACTGTACATCATACACACACTTTTTAATGTCACATGCACCCAGTACAAGCAATAATTGAATGCACAATGTTCATTCTAGACAATGCCAGCACTCTGCACAGAGGACATGTGACTGTAGTATAGGTTATAAAAGTGACCAGAAACATCTAAACCACACTGGCATTCATAGAATGTGTCAGCTATATAAGAATAATCTGTGAATACACTGCAATGTCAAATCCTAAGGAAGTGATAATAAAAAAGAGCAACTAAGCTCCTGCCATTTATCCCCAAAAAACATCATTATTAAGCAGCCTCCTATTATGGCCATTAAACTGACCTAATATTGGGATTTATGTCATTTTCCTTTCTGTTAGAAAGTGTGCATGCACTACTTTTTTTTTTTTTTAAACACACCGCAAAGCAACGCACGGTATTTCGCTACCACTCGTTGCAGCGTAATCGAGCACACTGCGAGTAGAAGGTGCGTTTGGGGTGCCGTTCGAAGGAATGGCAATACAAAGCACCTCCTGCACTGTTAACGCATAGTATAGTGCTTTGACCGAACGGAACCATGAGATTAGCGCATCACACCAGTGTGAATGGGCCCTAAATCACTTACAATGGATGCTTCTTGATGTTTAAAAGTTTTAGTTTCCTGCAGATTTAGATGGTTCAGTGAGCACTGGTCCTGATATCCTGTTTTCCTTTGAAGGACACTATGAAGACACCCTGTGTGCGCTAGTAAGCTGTGTGTGTCATCACAATCACACAGTCCCATACTAGAAGTCACCAGCACTCGATGTGTGCAAGTAAAGCACTTTTTATTAAATCGTCACATGTGTCAAACAGCCAACGTTTCGGGGCCACGTAGGGTCCCTTCTTACTGGGCGATATAGTAACACAGCGCCATCCGTGTTGTCACTTCAAGCACCAACCTTTCATCCAAGGTCTGTACGCTTTATACAGCCGCCTGATCATTTGTACAGATCGGCGGCATGTGCTCCCCCCACCCCCTCTGACGGATTCCCCAGGCTCTGCTGTCCCCTGTGTGGGGCCCAGGACCGGCACATGGGCTCTCCTCGCAAGGATTGGAAAGAGATGCAGCGGCTCCCAGCCGCTGATCTCTCCTCCAATCACTGGACCCGGAAGTGATGTGTATTACATCACTTCCGGTGTCACTGCGCACATTCTTTCACGGTCGCATGCAATTTTAAGGCTTGACATGTTTGGTATCTAT